TAAATTCCATCTTCAAGCGGAACTGGCCTTTTCTTGCTATGATTTTTGTTTTTAGGATATTTATCCCGACATTCATATCCAATCCATCTCATATTAGTTGCTTCATCAGGTTTATTTTGACAAAAGTCTTCGTCGTGTCCGTTTCCGATCGATTTTCCAACAGAATATTCAAATAGATTTTTCAAATAATAAAATAAGAAATTACTGAATTGGAATATAATGATATGATAATCATCATTTCTTTGATGAATAAATTCACGGATTTTATCTTCTAATCCATTGAACAATCCAAAATCTTTCAAACAAACTTGAATTCCAATTCCAGTTCGAATAGATTCTAAAGCAGATTCTTCAAAATGAGGAGTTTTACGTATTTTACAGTTAAGCCATTTAATAACATTTTGAATTAAATTGAAAATTTTCAATTTATTATAATTATTTGAATTATCATTATAATTAACTGCATATTCAGTTCCGTTATAATTCGAGCATTTATAATCGTCAATCTCTTCAATTTTTTGAGTAAGATTTGCTCGATCACGCAACTTCAAACAATTTAAAGCTTCTTTAATTGTAATAGAAGTTCTTATTTGATTATATTCAACTTTAATAATTTGATTAACTAAAGCAATGGCATCATCATCATTAGTAATTTCTGAAACCTTAATAGCATTCTCAGCTTCATGCAACAATTCTTCAATTCCCAATTGATCGTCATTTTTATTAATATAAAATTTAAAAAAATAAGGATCATGTTGACGAATCTTATTGGTAGTATATATAAAATCTGCTTCAATCAATTCATTTTTATTATTTTCTTCTTTGCTGATAGAAACTGCATCATCTGCATCATCTTTATACTTTTCTTTGCTGATAAAATCTGGTTTATTTTTATTTTTCTCATCTTTTTTGATAACACTAGATAACATTTTGTAAAATTTGACAGCCTCCTCTTCTTCTGTCTTTTTAGCAATCTTGATCGATTTATTAGTTTTCAAAGAATGATTCATATTTGTTTATTATATGAAGGAGGAGATACTTAAGGTAAAAAACTATTTAGAATCAAAATATTTCAAGAGCGCAACAACGAAAAACAATTAAAACATTAGAACACGTATGACTTTGGGTTTTAGTATTGCAAGAAATCTAAAAATCACAATTACATTTTATAGACATATAAATAGTGAAATCAAAATAACTTTATTAAAGTCGGCATGAAGTTATACGCAACTTGGTTATACGTTACATTACAAATTACGCCAAGCAGGAAATTTATAAGTTATGTTATCAAGTGCATATAAGTAATACGTAGCACATTAAACCAAAAATATCGACTTTAATAAGATATATCAGATTATCGACTTTAATAAGATATATCAGTTTAAATTAAAACGTTGGAACTATCGAGTTGATATAATACATAATTTTCGCCGATCATAATGCAATCGGATTAAAATAAAATGAGGGGTTTCTATTTAATCCCCTAAAACCCACTTATAATAAAACTACTCTAAACCAGTGTCTAAAATTAATGTGCGGAAGGGGCGGAGTGCACAACAAAAAAATTTTCCACAAAACAATGTGCGCAAAGCGTACATTAAATTAAATTCATGTATGTTTTAAGCTTAAAGTGCGGCATTTTAATTGGATTATATATTTATTTGTGCTATTTGTTTTATTGCGCACATTTAAAAAAAAATTTTGCCGCAGCCCATAATTTTGATGCTGAATTTTAGACACTGCCCTAAAACCTAATCTTAACTCTAAAAAATGCTAAAAAATGCACGCAAAAATTTGTATTTGTTTATTTCATTTTAATCTGCCACAATTAATTCGTGTCACAAATTCAGCATCAATAAGACAAGGGCAGAATCGCCATCTAATAAAAATTTTGTGCTGTTAGTTTAGGATTAGGATCTTGTCATTAAATTAGGCTCAAAGGTACTGCTAATGCAAGGAATTTTTTTTTATTACTAATGTGTAGAAGGCAATTTCATAGGTTTTTTATAGGCTAAATATTGAGATATAAGTGATTTTTGAAAGATGAACGGAACGTTTGTTTTAATATCTTGATCATGCTACATTACACCTGATCTTAAAATTTGACTGGCTAGCGAAATTTTAGGGCGATGATTTTACCCGATTAACAAAAGAGGTAATTTAGTTAAGTATACGATTTGTTCAGTAAACAGTATTACTATTACTAGGCATGGCCATAATAATTATTACGTCAATAATATCTTAACTAGAAGACGCAAGTGTATATTTGAATTGAAGCCTTTGTTTGGCAGTGGTGATCATGAATTAATATAATCGATTTGGTGTTAGTTTTGGAAATACTCGTTTTTGAATTTTACCAATATCTTTAGTAATACTGTCAGAATAAAATAATTATATAAAAGTGATAAGAACAATTAAACTAAAATGCATAAAACTTATAGGAATTGATAAGTAATTTGTATGAAAATTTGTATACGATTGAATTAAAATTTATTTTTGGGTTAAATCATGTATCTTCGCTCATATGATACTTATTGATAATGCAACATAGCTAAAGATCTCTGATTGATTAAAATTTAGGGGAATTTACACATAAAGGACCAAAAATGAAAATAATTATGGATGAGGGCCCAAAATAAACATTATTACATATAGTGGTCCAAAATCAAAAATTATTACAAATAAGGGCCTGTCCGATCTCGAGTTATACTAGGCAACTAATACATAGCGTCGCCCAGAAAAAATAGTAGCCTGATTAAAATAATTATAAAACATCACTAAAATAGCTTTAAGATGCAATTAATTTTTTTACATGAAAAAACTAAAAGTACTATTCACGAATCTCGCTAACAAATTTATGAATACAAATTTTAACACGTTGATTAACAAGATCTTTATACATAACTAAATAACACGAATAAAAAGCTATATTATGCTGTGATTATTTTGAGCATTAAAATTCTTTGTATTTACTAGATAAATTAACATTAATATTCACGAACTTAAATAGCTTATTTAAACGATTGATCAAAATTATATTTTTGTGAATTCAACACGGCAAAATTCTCGAAATAAAAGTAAAAATCAAAATGAAAGTCAAAGCGAAGGTCATAATGAAAGAGTTAAAGCGAAAGTCAAAAACAAAGGAGAATCAAAGCGAAAGTTAAAATCAAAACGAAATTAAAGCGAAGTTAAAGCGAGAGTCAAAATGAAAATCAAAGCGAAAGTCAAAGTCAAAGCGAAAACCAAAGTAAAAATCAACAACCGAAGTTAAAGTGAAGACCAAGTGAAAGTCAAGACAAAGATCAAAATAAAAATCAAAGTTCTAATGTTTATCATTAAGCACGATAAACATAACTTTACCGGCAATCAGTTTTCGAAGTCATATGTAAGCCAGAAAAAAATCCGGCTACTAATTTTTCTAGACGGCGCTATGTACCGGTAAGTTTTGTGGCTTAGTCGCCACAGCTCGGAGATCAGACAGGCCCTTATTTGTAATAATTTAATAATTTTTAATTTAGGCCGCTATATGTAATAATTTTTATTTTGGGCCCTCATCCGTAATTATTTTCATTTTCGGTCCTTTATGTGTAAATT